TCTTGCCTTCTTTTTCTTTGGGGAATAGATTTATTATCTATTAGTCTCTTTGCATCCTTCTAAGTGGTATGATTCTTTTATAAAACAAATCAAATTGTTGCATAAGAGTATTATAAAGTTCTCCTGGTTTCTCATAAATAGTATCTGTTACTTGTTACTGGGCCATTTATTTAATTTGATCTTCAATCTTTTAATGTGGAGGAGGCAGTTATAAGGTGAATAATCATTTCGGAGTTCATATTGTAAATATGGAAGCGGTTTAATAATATTTTACCATGAAATTTATTTCATTGTGTTATTGGTAATTGAAGTTCATTTTACTAGCTGAAGTCTGGTGTTCATGTACCGTATTCTTCCCTTTCACATGATAGATATCAAAAGGCACCAATTTTGAAGTACTGCGAGGCCTTACAAATGCATTGCTCGCTGCTAATAAACCGTATGAGGTATGCTGTTTGGTCAATAAAGATACTAATGAATATATTTTTACTTCGCTCACACTTGTATGTAAAATTTTAAATATATATAATACATTGTTTCTGTATGTGAATTCTAGTTATATAGCATTAGCTTGTTAAAAGTATCAGGCCAATAGCACAGTTACAGCAGCCTACCTGAAGTCATGAGTAACTTATTGATGCATAGGTTATTTATGACACTTACAGGCTATTGAGGAATATTATTTATGTCATTTTTTCCCCCGCTTAATGGAAACCAAAACTTGAGTTTTGAAGTAATGAAGCATAAAAAAATGCCAAAATTGAGACATGTAAAAGATCATGATCGCTATGGGGAAAAGCAAACACTCAGATCATAATTGCAACACCTTAACCTGAGGGTTAGACACAACAAGACGCTGCATTTTCGTGAGAAAAAACTCATCAACATATAAGACTAACCATGACAGATGCATATCAAGCATTCAGAAGATGATAACAATAACTTCAAAAGAAATTTAACATCAAAAGAAATTTAACTCCAAAATCTGATGTATATCCTCATATGATAATAGTATGCGATTCTCCTCATCTTTCTTTTATTGATTTATTCTTTTGGCAAGCAAAAATAATGTTTCTGTGCAAGTATTTCATCTTCCCTTCATCTTATTCAGGCTGTTCAGTTTCTGCTGGGCACTCGTGAACATCTATATGCAGGAAAGCAAAACAGTCTTGACAATAAGGAGGACAGCAGCTTAAAAGAAATGGAGCTGACAGAGGTGGATCCTATTCAAGTGAGTTAATTTTTTTGGTTACGGAGTATGCATGTATAAAATAATAGCAATCAGAAAATTATTTTGAATTCCTCGGTTGTTGCATATTTAAATTGTGCAGTAGCTGTAGGTTCGCCAGATAATAGAAATGGTTTCTGGAAGCTCCATTTATTGTAGGTGTCTTGCTGTAAGAAATTCATGTCACTGCGAAAACCAATTTTGTATTTGCCATAAGTAGAACCATCTTCAGTTTGGTGTAGGACACTATCCCTAAGATATTGAGTCTACTTGAGAAGGCACAAGAAACCACTGGTTTATCATGAAGTTAATTTTAGTTTTATTTTCTCTCTCGAGGCGATAGATTCACGTTAACAGTTTGTAGTTTAGTGTTCCTCTTCTTTCACGTGAGTCCTATCATTTTGCACCAACATTCAGCAGTCTATCAATGTGAATGGTCCCATAACCAGGTTTTTCCTGTACCAGAGTAATATGAACCTCATGTAGAACAAATTGGTAAACGAATATTAATCAGGGAGTTATCATTTTTTCTTTCTTTTCTGAAGAATTTCTTGATTTGACTGTTCATACAACCCTTTGTGTGCATATTGTAACTCTTTGCTCAAGTTGTTATTTCCTAAATCTCCCTAAGTTATTTTTCTTAATATAAAGGACATGTTTTCTCAGGTTGAGTTGCTTCTCGGAAAGGCATATTCAGATTGGGGCCACATCAGTGATGCTGTATCTGTTTATGACCGTCTTATTGCTACGCATCCAAGTGATTTTCGTGGTTACTTAGCAAAGGTTCTGCTCTTCCCTGGCTTTCTTATGCAACAAAATATACAAAAAAATCAGGTGGATTTATGTCAGGAAGAAGGGGTGTACTAACCTTAACTTAAGATATTAGCCTCTAGTATTCATCATGGGGATCCTTAGAATAGAACAGGCAACGATAATTTGTTACGAGGATAGTTAGTTGGAATGTCAATAGCCTAGAACAAATTGACCAGCCTTGAATCTCTTCTTTTGCTTGGCATTTGGGATTCGTGTTTAAAAAAAAATTGTCCTTTGGTCTTTCTATCAGGGCTTCTAGCAATCTTGTGATTTGGGATAACAGAGTGGCTTTCTATGTTGGTTATATTGACGGCTCTTTCTCCTTATCGATACTATTAAATATTAGCGATAAAAGACTTGGTAGTTTACTTGTGTTTATAATCCAATTCACGCTTGTCTTTGATCTTACCCGTAGGATGAGCTTTTATATGTTTATGGCTTGTGGAGCCCTTTCAGGTGCATTCATGAAGATTATAATGCTTGTATGTTCCCATCTAAGTTAGGAGGTCATAGGATGGGTGCTGCTATGAAGGGTTTTAATGATTTTATTCTGGATTGTGAGCTAAGGATCTTTCTCTTTCCAACACTCAGTTTCTTTGGTTAATTAATAATAGAATAGTTGTTTCATCTTATATTAACCAGTTACTTGTCTCCAACACTAGGGAAAATTTCTTCTCAGATTTAGTCTCGGAGGTTTTTCCTTGTCCTAATTTTTGGAGTCTGGCTGGTAGTGTCGAGGTGCCACCTCATTTCGATTTGAGAACATGTGGTTGGCTCACCCTAATTTCTTGCATAATATTAGTAATAGATGGGTGGGAGGTTAATCCTGTGGGGTGCGGAGTTTAGATTTTTGAAGAAGCTGCAATTTGTTAAGGGGCAAGTTGAAGAGTTGGACCAAGGATGCTTTTCAAGAAATTGTAGTTAGAAAGAATAATAGTCTTGAAGATTTCTCTTCTTGATAGGTTGGCTGCAGATAATGATATCACCAAAGAAGCAAAATAAGAAGAAATGGGTTAATGGAGGTGATTCCAACTCTTAAGGTTTTTCATAGAATGGTGGGCAATAAGAGGAGAAGCTTGATGAGGAGTTAGCGTTGGAAAGGGGGCAGATATGATTGGGTCAGTTGTGATTGATTTTTATAAGAAGCTGTATGAGGATTGCTGCATCAATCGCCCCTTCTAATGAGGGGCTTGATTGGTGTCCATTAGCATAGATAGAACTAGGTGGATCAGAAGAGATTCTGAGGAAATCATAATCAAGAGTTAGTGTGTGATCTTGGTATTAGAAAGGCCCTTGGTCCTGATGGTTTTATATTGCTTTCTTTCAACAGTATTTGGACATTATTAAAGTTGGTCTTTCAAAAGGTTTTTGAGGAACTTTAT